CAACAACAAAATTGCCAATATCAACCTCAATCGAACACATGGCAACGAGGTGACCACGGGGAGACGAGGCCTTTCTGCGATTACCATAACAAGTATGGACATCCAACCACGATGTGTCGCGAGCTACATGCCTATTTACTCGCAAAGAATTGCAAGGGAGAGATCGACCTAGCAAACCAACCCCAAAGCACTGCACCACGCAACAACGAAGCTCGACCAACGATACCCACCGAGCAGCTTCCACCTCCTCCTCCAACCAGCGAGCAAGCAAATGACGATCCAACAAAGAGAGATTGAGGTAACCAGCCACGAGGTGACACTCCCCCGGCATCTCGAAAAAAAGTGTTCATGATTATGGGAGGCCTGTCATCATGCAACGAGTCCGTTCGGTCGATAAAGAAGTACGGCCGACAAGTCATGCTTGCACAGAAGTGGAGAGTAAAAGGTCCCAAAGCAACTGAAAGCGATGCGATCACATTTTCAGAGGTCGACGCAGAGGGAGTAGACACGCCACACAACTATCCGCTTGTAATCGGGCTGCGGATTGCAGATTGCGAGGTGTCACGGATCTTGGTCGATACAGGGAGCTCAGTGGATCTGATTTTCAAGGAGACTCTCGATAAGATGGAATTGGCCAACCACCATCTCAAATCCTCCGTGAAGCCACTCACCGGATTTGATGGGGATACGGTATACTCGATCGGAAAAATCAGACTTCCGCTCTACGCTGCGAAGACAACTCGCCTCGTCAAATTTATCGTCATCGACAAACCTGCCATCTATAACGTAATTCTGGGAACAACCTGGCTGCAATCCATGAAGACGATGCCGTCGAGCTATCATCAATGCCTCAAGTTCCCAACAACGTTCGGGGTAAAAACTATTCGGGGATCCCAAGAAATGTCGAGACTTTGCTTTGCGGCCGAACACAAACTCCGATTCAAATCCATGATTCCAGCCAAGGTGTGCCTCACGATCTTACCCACGACTCAAGTCGATTTACCATCTCAAGAATGACCCAAGCGAGAACTCGTCGTACAAGTAAACATCGATAAAAGCGATCCCGAACGATGCGTAGGAATCGGAGCTGACCTAAAAGAAGATATCAAGGTTGAGCTCGTCAGACTTCTTCGCCGGAATGCATCGACGTTCGCCTGGTCGGTAAGCGATATGCCTGGGATTGATCCCGCGATAACAAGTCACGAACTCAATATCGACCCTACGTTTAAGCCGATCAAGCAAAAAGGAGAAAGATAGGTCCGGAAAAGGCCCAAACTGTCAATGATGAGGTCGAGCCTTTGTTGAAGGCTGGCTCAATCATCGAGGTCAAATATCCGGAGTGGTTAGCAAACCTAGTTGTTGTCAAAAAGAGAAACGGCAAATGGAGAATCTGCGTGGACTTCAACGATCTCAACAAGGCATGCCCCAAGGATAGTTTCCCATTGCCACATATAGATCGAATCGTCGAGGCAACTGCCGGGAACGAACTCTTGTCATTTATGGATGCCTTCTCCAGCTATAATCAAATCACGATGCATCCCGAAGATCGCGAAAAGATGTCCTTCATCACTGACCGAGGGACTTACTGTTATAAAGGTAATGCCGTTCGGATTAAAGAACACGGGTGCGACGTACCAATGGCTAGTTAACCACATGTTCGCTGATCAGTTGGGACGGACGATGGAAGTTTATATTAACGATATGCGAGTAAAATTACTCACCGCCGGTGATCACATTGGTCATCTACAGGCTTGCTTCACTGTCTTGAATCAATATCAAATGAAGCTCAATCCGACTAAGTGCACTTTCGGGGTTACATCCGGAGAATTTCTCGGTTACATCGTCACTAAACGAGGAATCGAGGCGAACCCAAAACAAATCGACGCCTTAATCAATTCCCATCACCTTACAGCACTCGTGAGGTCCAACGCCTCACCGGCCAAATCGCGGCACTCAACCGGTTTATATCACATTCGACCGATAAATGTCTTCCGTTTTATCAACTCCTCCGAGGCAATAAACGTTTCGAGTGTGATAGCAAGTGCGAGCAGGCATTCCAGCAACTGAAGAGGTACCTCGCGAGCCCGCCGATTTTAGCGAAACCAGAAACGGGTGAAACCCTCTATCTTTACATCGCAGTATCGAGTTCGGAAGTGAGAGAAGTCTTAGTCAAGGAAGTTCGGGGCGAGCAGAAACCAATCTTCTACGTCAGTAAAACTCTGGACGACGCGGAAATGTGTTATCCAACATTGTAGAAACTCGCACTCATGGTCATCATGTCCGCCAGAAAGCTACGACCCTATTTCCAGTCTCACACCGAACAATACTACACAGCCCGAGCCAGTCAGGTCGCATGGCAAAATGGGCAGTCGAGCTGACAGAGTACGACATCGAGTATCACAATAAGAGAAGCGCCAAATCACAGGTCCTCGCGGATTTTCTGGTAGAACTCCCCTCGGAGTTAATCCAGACCGACCTCCCTAATGAGAAATGGTCTTTATACGTCGACGGATCTTCCTCGTCCCGAGGCGCAGGTATTGGCATCCGTTTGGAATCCCCGACAAAGGAGATATTGGAGCAATCATTTCGGCTCGAATTCCCAGCTTCCAATAATGAGGCAGAGTACGAGGCTCTACTTGTGAGACTTTGCCTAGCTCAAGGAATCGGAGTTAAGAAAATTGAAACTTTTTGCGACTCCCAGCTCTTCGCTAAACAGTACAGTGGCGACTACGATACCAGGAACGACCGGATGGATTTGTAAAGCCGTCAAGCGTCTCACCGATTGCTTCGAATCTTTTTCCCTCACCAGTATCCCGAGAAGCGACAACACTTCTGCGGATTCACTCGCCACTCTGGCTTCGACATCTGAGTCACACGAAATGCGCGTTATCCCCGTCGAGAGCATCTACGCCCCCAGCATCATCTTACCTCGAGGAATATGTGCCGTTCGCGAGCTCGAAGCAAACAGCGTAGATGCCAACAAATTGCCTCCGATGTTGTTAATGAGCCCGCAGAACATTAACGACATTACGGATGACGACTGGAGGATCGAGATCCTGCTCTACATTACGGATGGCCAAGTTCCACCCGACCGATGGGCAACAAGACGCCTTAAAGCTCGAAGCGTGAAATACGTCCAGTCACACGGCAACCTCTATCGATGGAGTTCGACAAGAGCCCTGCTCAATTGCCTACACGGTGAAAAGACACAAGATGTCATGAAAGAAACACATTAGGGAGCATGTGGAAATCACTCTAATGGTCGAGCTCTAGCTCTGAAAATCAAAAACCATGGCCAATTTTGGCCGACAATGCTGACAGACTGTGACTGATTCGTAGCTCGCTGCGAGCAATGTCAACGACACACACCAATGATCCATGCACCAGCCGAACTCCTCGCTGCTTCCTCGCCACCTTATCCCTTCATGCGATAGGCGATGGACATCGTTGGTCTACTTCCCCGATCCCGACAGAAACGATTCATACTCATCATCACCGACTACTTTACGAAGTGGGTCCAGGCCGAATCATACTCTAAAGTCAAAGCAACCGATGTGAAGAACTTCGTCTGGAAAAACATAATCTGCCGACACGGACTCCCCTACGAGATCGTCACCGATAACGGTCCCCAGTTCATCTCGGACGTATTCGAGGACTTCTGTGCCAAATGGAAAATACGACTAAGCAAATCTACACCACGATACCCACAAGGGAACGGACAAGCCGAAGCGACAAACAAAACTATCCTCGACGGCATCAAGAACAGACTCGAAGATAAGAAGGGTTTATGGGCAGACGAGTTAGAAGGAGTCCTCTGGTCACACCGAACTACACCGCGCCGATCGACGAACAAAACTCCCTTCTCGTTGTCTCACGGTATGAAAGCTTTAGTTCCCGCCGAGGTCGGGTTACCGAGCATTCGCAGAACGATGCTGACACAAGACAGCAAAACAAACGGAAAAATGATGAAGGATAGCCTCGATATGCTCGAGGAAGAGCGAGATCGCGCCTTATTACGCATGCAAAACTATCAGCAATAGGTCGCTCGTTACTACAACAAACGGGTGAAAGGTAGACACTTTGAAACTGGCGACCTCGTCCTTCGCAAAGTATTCGAAAATACTAAAGAAGATGGAGCAGGAAAACTGGGCGCAAAGTGGGAAGCCCCCTACCAAATCACCAACGTTGTAAAACCAGGCGTTTACGAGCTTATGAAAATGGACGGCGAAATGATACCTCAATCATGGAACTCGAAGAACATTAAGCAGTATTACTACTAGCGACAAAAAAAATGACGCTCACCGAGCTATACTCGGTCGAGCTAGATCTCGAATGTGAACTACGATCGGCTTGATCCCAATTTGTTGGGTACGTAGGCAACCTCTTACGAGGTACAGCTATTAATAAAATTTACCTTTTACCAATTTCTTCTTCGACATCTTTTACATCGACATCCTAGCTAGATGTTCGATCTCCATACGCATTTCCCTACAATGCAAATTCTTAATAAATCCTAAAGAACAAAAACCTTACGATTATAAAAAATTAGCCGGGACCAGTCCTGCATCCTTTCTTAAATCATCCAAATAATTACGTCGAGACCATTCTCACTACTCGGACACGATTAATGAAATAAAACAGGATAAGCCGAGTTTTACCTCGCACCTATTGTTCTATTAAGCCGAGTTTTACCTCGCATCTATCATTTTATTAAGCCGAGTTTTACCTCGCATCTATTGTTCTATTAAGCCGAGTTTTACCTTGCATCTATCGTTTTATTAAGCCGAGTTTTACCTCGTATCTATCGTTTTATTAAGCCTAGTTTTACGTCACGTCTATTGCTCTTTTATGGTTTAAAACGCGAGATATGCCATTAAGCGAGCCTATACTTAGATAAATAACTTCCATTGATAAGATAAGAGTGGATCATTACAAACGAGGGGAAACGGAAAGTAAGTACACAAAGGCGCGATAATGGAAAAAGAAAAAGAAGATACGATTTACTCCCCAGGCTGAGTGCCATCATCGCGATCTTCCTGTTCATTGGCATCATTGTAGTCCGAGCCACCATCCGGGGTCTCAGGAAACGGTGGAGGCAAATCACCTTCCTCAAGATCAGCAAGGCGGAGTCCCTCGAGTTTCAGCTCGCACTCGCGTTTGGTTGCCTCCAGCTCAGCCATCAGCTCGGCTTCCGTCATCTCTTTATCCTTTAGGATATCGAGACACTCGAGAGTACCTCGAGCCTGGACAAGATTGAGCTTCACCTTCACAATGGCCTCTTGTTCAGCAATGAAGGTCCTTAGCCGATCAATGCGACCCGAGAACTTGGTCTCTGCATCCACCCAAATCCGAGTGGTCTCGGACTCAATCTTCTCCTCGGCGTGTCGTTACACGCAAGCCACCTCAGCAGCAACCAACCTCTCAGCCTGAATCTTCCCCTCGTTGACCGTTTGGAGGTTGTTAATCAGATCCTGGTTCTCCACCTTTAGTTCCTCGAGCTTGTCGGACAACGTCTTCACACCTTCATCCAATTGCGTGGCGTGTCTCTTCTCGACCTGCCAGTTCTCCTCGGCCAGCTTCCGCTGGGAAATTGCAGCATCACGCTCATTTACGGCTCTCTGGCCGGCGGATTGAGCGTTCCAGAGCTTTGTAGTAGCGGCCCGGAGGAGACGGTGATATTGACCCCTCGTCCGATTACAGCTCGCAATGAACTGAATAGGGAAAGAAGAAGCGTAAGAATAAGCTCGTAAACACGCGGACAACAACCTAAGAATCTCGACATACCTTAAAGGTGAAGCTCGCCATGTCTTTGAAAGCCGCATTCTCGCCAACGGGGACTTCAGAAGTCGACCCCCTTATCAAATCGAAGAGCTCAGCGCACTTATCAACATTATTGACGAAAGGCTCGCCCGATTCGGGGTAATCAAATTTAAAGCTCCAATCGATCTCCCGAACCTTATCGCTGCTAGAGGAACCAACCTTCAGCTGCTTACTGGGCTCCTCACAATTAACACCACCGCCCTCGTCCAATTCGTCGGAGGATCGCTTCCTCTTTTTCTCCTTCGCCGCCGTTTTGGTGGCCTCAGCTTGTCTCCTCTCCTCGGCAAGTCGTGCAGATTCGGCTTCCTCCTTTTCCTTCTTCTTCTTCTCTTTCCTCTTTTGCTTCTTTGCCTCCTTCCTCGCCTGCCTCGCAGCATCATCCGTTTCCTCGACGGCTGAAACCTCCGCTTCAGGCTCATCGATCTGGGTTTGGACCCCGCCTTCTGCAATCGTAGCGAGGTTATCGTCGTGACGTGCTCAACCTCATCATCTCCTCGGCGCGCAGTTGTTTGGGTTGAACGACCCGATTGAGCAGAGGACTGCTGGTTTCTGTTCCCCCCTCTCTCGCGACTGGCTCTGAGCCGTGCAGCAAGGCTAGGCGCGTTCACTTGAATTGGAGCCATCTCGATCGATCTCTCCCTTAGAAGGTTTTCTCTTCTCCAACTAGCTGTAACAAGGCAATATGTTAGGCGATGTTAGCTATAAAAATGCTGATCACGTCAGACTTACCGTTTGTAATGCGCATAATGGCGGCTTCAACTCTTCGGCGATGTATCTCGGGCCAATGACGTATCCCAACAGCCCTAATCTTCTGAAGGTTTTTGTGGTAATTCTCTGGATACGCGTCGAGCTGAACGTTCCGATCTGCGGAAGGAAAAGAAATATCAGTAAAAGGCAAAGGAAGGCTCTAAATATGACCGAACTAACGATCTACCGATGCTTCTGCTCCACTCGTTTCTAAAATCTCTGGTCGTGTCGACGACCAACGCTTCGTTAATCTTCGCGTAAAAGAGTGACGCCTCCCAGCTCGGCGTTCTATTGACAGGATAGACCAAGGAGCAATCCTTTCTGGCCTTTATGGTGTAGGTACCCGGGATCGAGTTGTTCTTCTGGACGGTAGTCATTTCCTCGAAGAAACGCCAGTCGACGTTGACCCCGACCTTGCTCCCAAATAATAGAGCCGCGACCATAAAACGGATCCTCGCTGGAAGGATTTGCGAGAAGGCGATATGTCGCCGATCGACGTAGTCCGTTAGCAACCTCGGCAGAGGTACCCAGAGATGACAAAGACTGAACCACGCCTCGTAGAGCGTAACCCAGCCCTCTGGAGCTTGCCATGGCCGATCTTCGGGTCCTGGCGCCCTTAGCTCGCCGCAAAACCCGTACCGCGACCGCATTTCCTCTAGGTGTTGAGCCGTCATCTGAGACGGGATATCGACCAGGCGATTCTTGATAGCCCCTTTGCGTTTGGAACCTTTTCTACGAGGTCTAATTTCTTCTCCCTGTTCGTCTTCCTCCTCGCCACCTTCATCGACCTCTTCCTCGGCTTGTTCTGTAGCCTCGCCATCACGTGGATCTTCTTCGAGAGCAACTATTTAAAGACCCGTAGCCTCGCCTTGCAGAGACGCTCCATCGGAACGAACTCGATCCGCCAATTCAACCAGCGACGATTCTTCCCGATCTGATTGAGTATCAGACCTCGAAGATGTCTCAGGAGAGGAACTTAGGTTCCCAGAAGCTTCCTGGTCAGATCTAGAGCCTGACTCTAAGCACGACTCGATATGTAGATCCCCCGAAGTCAGGTCATAATCGGAAGGGCGTAATTGTTAGTAGCATTAACGATTATACGCAACTCCCGAGCACCCAAGTATCACCTCGATTCCGAGAATCCCGCAATCGACATCGAGGTCCTGAGAATCGGAAGATCCCAATTCGATGCGTTGAATATCGAAGTAACATCTCCATCAACGGACTAGAGGGGACAATTGTTGTAGGTGGGCTGAGCACAGCCCCCTTTTGGTAATTTCGATTATGCCCGTTAGCTAATTGATGAAGCCCAACGAAGCCAAGGGTCGTTAGAGCCCATTCGACGATCCAAAACGAAATCGTTCAAGAGATGGGCTTATGATTTAAAGGAGCAGCTCGCCACGTCGACATGAGTGAAACAGCTTGCCAGCACGACACCCAGATAGACGGTCGGTCAGGTCTACCTGCCCGGCCGCCTAATCTACTCTGATCGAAATATAACCCAATCTCAACGCTATAAATAGCTCTGTAACTTCATTTATTATGGGATCCGTAATCTGAAATAAAGACTAAGAACTCGACACTTGCGAATACAAAACTACATACTCTCACCTCGATCAAAAGACCTCGCTTAAGTATATCACATCGAGCTTGACTCTAATTAACAAGAATCTCCGAACTGCCCTCGATAACATTTACTAAACTAACCTCGCGTGCGTATACGAACAAACAGTAAGAAGCTTGACACTGTTCTCTCCGGAAGTACTGCTAAATGGGAAGAAACATTTGGTCAAAGGTATTGGAAAGCCAGCGCGGAGATGACTCCAATTGTGGTGGCGGCTGAGAAGCCTGGTGCGGGTGCTAGGTGCTTCACTGAGGCTGAGAAGAGTGCTGTGGGGGCTAGGTGCTTTGCGGTGGTGGCTGAGAAGAAGAGTGCTAGATGCTTTGCCGTGGCTGCAGAGAAGAAGAGTGCTAGGTGCTTTGCGGTGGCGGCTGAATAAAACGGTGCGTGTGGTAACATTGCAGCTTAATTACTCAAATGAAGAAATCGTAATGTATAACAGTATAATACTAATGTAATGTGTATACTGTGATCTAAAAATGTTGTTGGATCTTTCTTTTGTTTTTTGTTTTTTGTTTTTATTTCTTAAATGTCTATGAAAATCTTAAATTTCTTTTAGCCCAACAATAATTAAACTAATTTTGGTCAAAAAAATTTAAAAGCCATAATATTCGACAATACTATGAAAGAAGTATTTTAAAGTCAAAACTTTTTTTTTGATGTTGCCATTACATCAATATATTACATTTAGAAAACAAGAGAAAATAAAATCTAAAAACAAAAGCAGAAGAAAAAGAAAGAAAATTACAAATTGTCCTACCGATCAGCAAGACAAATTTCATTTTCTTAAATGTTTATGTAAACTAGAAAGAAAAATAAATTTGAAGTTGACCGAAAGATATAAATGGTCAGATGCATTCTCGTCTTTTCTTTTTTATTTTTTACTTTTTAATTTTACATACTAAATGATAGATTTTGTTGTAAAGACTAAAAAAAAGTTTTTAGTTGAAAAAATCTATTGAGAAGTGATTTTTTTTTTTTTTTTGTCATCAGCCTAAATACCCTTCACGATTCAGTAATCCAAATCGGTGGTATCGAGTTTACATATATAATATTTAAGGGATAGACTCGAGCACTCCGAGCTAACTTGTCCGCCTTAATGTTCTTTGCGCGTGGGATGAGAGATAAAAAAAATAGATGAACCTCTCCTTGGTCTTCATAAATTCCTCTAAATGTAGATCAAAAGCTGGCCACTTCTTAGGTGTAGACACCATCTTCACCAACTCGGAACAGTCTGTTGCAAATGCTACCGCCGTCTTTTGGTTGTCAATCATACAATGCATAGCCCAGATAAGAGCTTCTAATTCTGCATGTAATAGTGATAAACTTCTTCGTATATTCCTTGCTCCCATGATGGTCTCTTCGACACCATCCTGAAAGAAAAGCCAACCTAATCCAGCTGCCCTATCGGTTTCTTTCCAAGAGCCATCCACATAACACCACCAACCTATATATCCTAAAAGTACAGGGCTGTTGGTAATATTCTGAGGAGCTACCTCTTGCTCGCTCTTCTGGGCATCTGCCCATATTTCCGCTTCTGTTTCCGCCAGTTTTAGAGTTATCAGTGGATTTCTATCCACATTTGAATAAATTTTATCATTCCTTGCTTTCCATATATACCTCAGAATCCAGGGAAAAGCATCGTGCTGAATTTCTTTTGGGACCCGCCAGAAGAGATGATCGAAATTAGAAAAAACCGATGACCTTGGAAAAATATCTGGGGGGTGGGTATCTTTGATAGAGCCCACATTTGCAAAGCTGATGGACATTCAAACAGAACATGGTTTATTGTTTCCTCTTCTGCTTCGCATCGTGCACATTGTGTGTCACATTGAATTCTCCTACTCCTAAGATTAGCCATAACTGACAAACACCCTGATATTGCTTGCCAAATAAAATGTTTTAATTTAGGTGAGCATTTCAGTTTCCAGGTATGTGCTTGTAGTTTCTTAATATCTGGCCCATAAAACCTGTCAATATCTTCAGTTGGAAATTGTTGCTCCACCTGATATCCTGACTTAACCGTGTATTTACCGGAGTTTGTAAAGTGCCAGCCTAGTGAATCACTTCTATATGAAGGACTTATAGGCATGCTCCGAATAAGTTCCACATCAGCAGGGTCGATAATAGCAGTTATCAGCCCCATATTCCATGTGTTTGTCATTGGGTCAATCAGATGATTAACCATTAGATTTGGGTAATAGTTATAACCCTTACAGATTGCTGACCTCGGGCGAGAGGACGGTATCCAAGGATCATTCCAAACATAGATGGAACATCCTGAACCCACTCTTTTAATTAGCCATTTTTAACCAGAGGTCTAGCCGAGATAATACTACGCCATCCATATGATGGAGAGTATGATCGTATGGGATCCAAAGGATCCGTGTTCTGGAAATAGCGTCCCTTGAAGACCTTCGCCAACAACGAATCCGGTTTTTCTATCATTCGCCATAACTGATTTGCCAGTAATGCTGTGTTAAAATCCTCGATTACCCAAAAACCCATACCCCCTTCTGTTCTACTTTGACACATTTTATTCCATGCTAACCAATGCATTCTTTTAGTTAGACCATTTGAGCTCCACCAAAATCGCGCCGCTGTACTGGTCAACTTTTTGGTAATAGACTTTGGCAGCCGAAAGCATGACATAACATAAGTCGGCATTGCAGATGCCACTGATTTGATGAGAACCTCTTTTCCCCCTTTAGATAACAAACGTGATGTCCAACCATTAACTCGGTCTGTCTTTCTGCTACAAAATTGAAGATCTTACTTTTTGCTCCTCCAAGACTCTCCGGTAGGCCTAGGTTCGATCCCATGCCTCCAATATTAGAAATTCCTAAAAGCTGTTTAACCTCTTGTTGAACCAAATCGGGTTCAATATCGAGAAGTGATTTTAATGTAAAATTTCTCATATTAGATGGATAACCATTGTTAACTAAAAGGATTATTTTGCCATTAACATGAGTCATCTGAAAGAGATCCAAATATTGGTGGCAACGAGGAGGCCAGAAAGGCGGATAATTTTATTCTATTTTTATCTTGTTTTTTTGTTCTTGTTAACCGTGCGACTAATCGATTTAAAAGCCAAATCAATATTTTAAACTGTTTTTTAGAAATAAAAAATAATAAAAAATTTTAATATTTTAAAATACATTTTAACTCCCTAAATTTTTTATAAAAGTTAAAAAAATAAAATTAATATTTTATTATTAAAATATGATATTTTTTACATTTTTTTACGAAATCGTTTATTAAACTATCATAGTTGAGTTTTATAACAATAGTTGTTTCAATAAATAACTAAATTAGTTCATTCAATCGCTGTTGTGACATGATAGCAACTGAAGTACAAAAAATTTTATTTAATATTTTTTCTCATAAAATAGAATTATCTTAAGAAAATAATTTTTATTTTAAAATATGTTTTTAACTAATATTTTTTAGAGAAAAACTCATAAATATTACAAAAAACCTACAAACATTATTATTTTATAAAAATGCTTACAAATTTTGTTTATTTATATTTAACTTAAAAAAAATTTAACCAAAATATGCTCCAAAAAAATTGGATTCCCTCAGTCGTCGCCTACTTCGCTTGTGCTCTGGGCCATGCTTGCTTGTTTTATGTGTTTTTTTTAAACCAATGCAACAAAATATTACTTTAACACACAATTAAAATAAAATATTTAGCATAAATTTATAATTCACTGTATATATGACCATATTGTATTATTTTTGGATGCTTAAAATGTTTTGATATATCATTTATCCTCCATAACTTATGACCAATCTTTCTTTTAAGGGTTCGTTTGAAAATAGGGTAACTTTAAAGTTTTAATTTGAGGAATGGATAGTTTTCAGATTTAATTAGTCTGGGTGGGGACATACTTTCATAAACCCAGACATACCCTTGTTTCTTAAAGAGAGACAGACACAGAAAATAGCATGGGTCCCAGGAGTAAAGAGAGTCCGCGCGCGTAACAGCCGAGAAGAGAGAAACTCACTTCCGCGATTGGGTTGTTTAGTGGGCCTGTTTTTCGAATTTGG